ATAAATTACACTATTGATATACACCAATAACACTAATTATGTTAAATAGGATATACCTTTACCAAAAACAAAACCATAATATTAATTTTTGTAAAATCAATCTCCTCCCCCACAATCTTTCAATGTTCCCAAATAAAAAATAATAATAGAAAAAAAAAAGAAAAAAGAAAAAGAAGAAGGTTACACAATTGCTATAGAATAAATCAATATGCGTCAAATATGATTGGTCGAGGCTCGTGTTAGATTCTCTATTTAAAAATGGGATGGGCTAATTTGTCAGGTTGTCATAATTGGTAATACTAAATAGTTAACCATCGGACCCATGCCGACCAAGCCGAGTGGACGATGTTACATGTGACAATGATATTGAAGGCCAATGTCTCTTGGAAATAATTAATTCACTGTTTTTAGGTAAATAATTAGAGTTACCTATTTTACGGGGTTAATATTATAAATTAAAAATTATTAAATAAAAAATAATATTTAATATTGAAAGGTTATTTTTATTTAATAATTTAATTATTGTGTAATTTAAATTGAAAAGTATTTTTAAAATTAATTATATAAAAAATATTTTATAAATTAAATTATATTAAATTATAAAATACATACTTTCAAATATATATATATATACTCATTTTTTTTATGTGCGGTGCTTCCGAAACAATGGCGTTGAAGGAGGAAATGTGGGCAATTTATAACTAACGTTTTTCTCTTTTTGACTCAAGGGTTATGGACTGACCGAATCAACGGGGGCAGTTTTTGGGTTGTTACGTCCCGAAGAATGTCTCAATTGGGGCTCAGCTGGAAGGCTTTTTCCTCATTGTGAAGCAAAAATTGTTGATCCAACCACGGGGGATGCCTTGCTTCCATCCCAACAAGGCGAAATTTGGCTCAGAGGGCCTACCATAATGAAAGGTGCGTGCATCAATATAAATGGACTTTATTGTTAACAAGTACAGTATTATAAGACTTGTTGATAGAAAATCCAACCTCATGCATGTGAACACATGGACTTTTCATATGGTGAAATTTTTTCACCAACCTAACTAGTTGTGGGGTAAGATCGCTTTGTTGAAATCATGTAAGATTGCATGTTGACCCTTTTAATGAACAAAGAAAATCATAGACGAGTAGTAATGAGACAAGAAAAAATAGTGCATAGGTGGTTGAATTTTTCACTATAAATAACTATATATACAAAGGCAATGGGCAAGCAAGACTGAGTACAAGCAAGAGTGAGAACAAGCTTGAGAAGAGCTAAGTGAGTGGATCTCTTGTGAGAGAAAATAAAGAGAAAAATTGTGAGAAAATGCTTGTGTAGATTAAGAGAGAATATTATGGAAAATTTGAGAATTTATATACATTAAAATTAGAGTCTTGAAAGCTTATTGAGTGAAAGAGTTTTTAAATTATTGTACTCCTATTCTTAATAGTAGATTTATTTTTCTCTTTTCTATGAACATAAACTTGTTGAGAAGTATATAAATCAAACCACGTTAAATTATTGTCTCAATTTCTTTATTGTTTTTGTTTGTGTGAAATTGTGGTGCTCAAAATTCCCAACACGACTCGACCTCGTCTTGCATGTGGGGTGCACATCAATGACCAATTTAGAGTGTGTGTGAATTCAGGTTATATCAACGATCCAGAAGCAACTTTATCTACTTTGGTATCCGATGGATGGTTGAGGACCGGTGATCTCGGTTACATTGACAAGGATGGTTACCTATATGTTATCGATAGGCTTAAGGAATTGATCAAGTACAAGGGATTTCAGGTGATCAAACTAAATTTAAGTGTGCATGTATATATGGTACACACTATATTTTTTTTTAATAAAGCAATTATATATTTCAACTACATTGTGAGAGAATAATATTAGTGATTGTGTTAAAATCAAGATCAATGTGTCACATTGCTGAATCTTTATCATTGAACCACAAAACATGGTTGACTTATATTATACACACGTCTATTTATTTATATAATGTGTTTGCTTTACATGGTCATGTGTACAGGTACCTCCGGCAGAATTGGAACAACTGCTTCAATCCCATCCAGAGATCACAGATGCGGCAGTGATACCGTAATTATTTATGAATGTCCCTCTTTTTTTTTTTTTCTCAGCAAAATGGAAAATAATAATAATGGGCGTACCAGGTATACTCCCAGCTAGATCTATACATATAACACACGTTTAATTCAAGTCGTAGGAAAGACTAAAGCATTACAAACAAGGCAAAATTTATTGGTTGTTAAAAGAATTAAAATTTACTTACATATGAATCTTACTTATTATATTTATATAAAATTTTAGTTATTTATTTCTTCACTTTTAATAATTATGATTTATTTATTTTTTAT